CAAAAAGTATGTCTTAATAAATGACTATATATATTCTGCTTTTCCTTTTCAGTATTTGTTTTAGGAAGCAATGTTACCAAAACATCTAACACATACCATTTTGTGTGTACCAGGCACTGTTACAGTTACCTCACATATATTAACTAATGTAACTTTCACAACAGCCCTATGAGGTTATCATCCTCATTTTACAGGTGAGGAAACTCAAGCACAAAGAGGTCAAGTAATGTTCCCTAGGCATATAATTAAGAAACGATTATAACTTGAACAGTGTGGCTCTAGAGTCTTGCAGAGTCTGCCTGCCCTGGGTCTGTGATACTGTCTCCCCAGGTATCCCCTGCCTTTGGCCATATTCCCATTCAGTGCCTTTGCTGGGTAGCTCTTCACTCACCCAGAAGTATAGACATTCCCTCTTGGTTTTATCCTACTTTTATCTTTTTTCCTGATTTTGCTCTTTCCTTCATGGCTCTGTCTACTCCCAAAAGTTCATTATTATCTAAGAATTCTCAGGTATATATTTTAAACCCTCACTTTTCTAACAAAATTTCCAGTTGTCTGCTGCTATGGTACAGAAACAACACTCTTCAATCCAGTCTCTGAATCTCGTCCTTCAAGCCTGTTCCTCCTCTCACGCCCCCATCCCCCTCCAGAGTCCTCTCAGATAAAAGCCAGGTCTCAGTTAGCTCTGTCTTCAGACCATTAGTCTCTAAGTCCCAATAATTACATTTCAGAATGTGTCTCTTATCTCTTCCTCCTTCACACTGTCAACTTCAGGCTCTGATTCTCCTGATTTCTCTGCTTCAAACTTTCACCCTTTTCCCCTAGTTGTACTGCTGTCAATGTGCCTAAAACCTTGGTGAAAGTCTATTACTCATTATTTTCCTACTCAAAACTTTTCACTAGGTTCTTATGCCCATAGAATAAATCAAACATTTCAGCGTGTCATTCAAGGATCTCAATAAATTGGCTGCAAGCAATCTTCCAAGCTTTGTATGGGAACATGCTCCCTCCCCTAAATAGGTCTCCCTTATAATCCTCCTCCTGACACACTAGATTTGTGATTACAGGGATACATCATATACTTAGTGTTTCTATTAATACTGTGTTCTGAGGAAATGCTATTCTTCCTTCAAGAGTAAGCTCAATTGTGCCCTCTTCTGGGACCTTCCTCAATTGCAATGAACTGCTTCCTCTGTAGCTCCCACAATTCTGCTTCCATTTCCACCACAGAAGTTGTTTCATTTTGCCTTGATGTTAGTTGGCTCTTTATCTATAGCACTGGGCTTCATGAAGGCAGAAGTGCTGACTCCTTTAGTTTTCATTTCTTACATATTTACTACACTGGTACTGTGCGTGGAAGGTCCATGCTTGTTCAATGATTTACATGTAATTATAATGAAGAAAGGTCAGGAAATCAAAGAAAACCTCTCAAGTGGAAATAAAACTGGCAGCGATAATTCTTAAAATCACTAGAGTACTAGACGTTAAAGATAGGAAAAATGACTCACTGAAGAGTAGTTCTCTAAGACTGAGTATATGATGAAAATTACTGCAAGTTTTACAGCAAAAAGAAAAATTGTCATTGGTAGTTTTTGTTTATATGATACCTAACAAATTTAAGTATTTAATTAAATATTAAGACCATTTAATCAAATGAAACAATTACTTTCACAGATATGGCCTACATGATATTGGTCTTGAAAAGATTAACTACAGTGTCTGTCAGCAGCCGGTTGCTGAATGGGGTTCAGGGAAGAGACTTGGTGTGGCACAGAGTAGTTTAAAATTTTTTAAAAATTATTTTGAAAAAAATTTAAGGATAAAAAAATCATAGTACATTATATAACAAATGTCCACGTACCCACCACTTAGTATTAACTCTTGGTAACATGCTGTCATAGCTAATTCATATCTTTTCAAAAATAAAATAAGTGATTTATAGATAGAACTGAAGTCCCCTTTATTCTCTTGGTTGATCTCTTCTCCATTCACAGAGGCTACCACTGATATGAATTTGGCATGTATCCTTCCAGCTCATTTATTTATATTTTTATAAATGTATACATGCATATACATAGATTAATAAGTTATACATATTGTATATACCATACAAACAATTTTTCTGGGTGTGTCTTTAAAGTTTAGGTAAATTGTATCATTCTCTACATATTTTTTGTTCTTTTCATTTCACATGATGCTTCTGAGATCTTCTCAAACTGATAATTACAGGTCTAGTTTATTTATTGGACTGCTTCATATTACAATATATGAATATACTTCATTTTTTAAA